TATTATGTACAATGTACATAATATTTTTATTTTTTAATATATTTTTTTTTTTATTAAAATAAAATTCAGTTCATTAAATTCATTATTTATTTTTCATGGCATGTTCGAGGTAACGAGTTATATTTAAAAATTTAAAGAGAGAAATTCAATTAAAAACTTCAAAAAATCGAATTTTTTTTGCATAAAATGTTAATTTTATATTGTAAGAATATGTTTCCAAAGTTTTAAAACAAAATTCACAGCCGTGGAAGTTATAGCCTCCGAGCGCAACAAATATCTTGAGCAGCGTCGGGGCGTCTAATAGCACACAGCAGGTATATGCACTCGCCCGGAAGGAAGACCTTGCAATGTCTTTTAGTTTAAAATGCCCCTACCATTATTCCAGAGTATTCGTAGACATCTTTTATATGTTCCTATTGTGTACATTTTAGTCGAGACCTTGAAGCTCGCATCGAGCAGTAATTGTTTTCAGTTTAGCTCCGAAATTCGGCCTGTACAGAACGACAGTGCAAATTCAAAATGTTCTATCCAAAAGGCATACGTAAAATCAAAACAAATATCGAAGCCACGCAAAAGAAAATTCCATGATAATCAATTTTCAAATAAAGAGAGAGAAAATGAAGAAAGATGTAAAAGTGCGAGTGCAAGAAAACTCTCCAATGTTAGTGCTGAAGATATTCATTGGAATCTGTCGCTATCGTTTGATTGAAATATTCATCGTTTTTACAGCCTTGACAGAGCTCCTCATTTGTAAATGTAAAACAGAATGTGAAGTTTGAAGAAATTGGGAATCGAGGCCTCAGTTTCAAGATAGTGAAAGTTTAGTGATAATGAAAGTTTCAATTCTATGATTTGGCGTTTAGCTCCTAAGCATCTTAATTCTGGGCTGAAAATAGTTGAAATTGCATCCTACCTCGCTGTTAGAATCTTCAATGAAGGATATTTTTCCATTCTACAAATTATGATGAAGTTACAAATAATTATTGGGAACCAGACCAAGAACTACGCTGAGAACGTCGACGAGCATCAAATATCTCGACAAGAGCGATGCAGCTTTTCATATTTAAAGAAGCTCGAAAAGCCCGAAAAGAGTAATTATTGGAGCAGAACGAATTATAAGGAAGTAGAAGGATTGTTGTATGATGCTGGGATTGCTGATTAAACGGTAAATTATAGATATCATGCATTTTTTACTTGTCAAAACTTTAAACGCGTTTTTCTCAAAACTGCATTTTCTACATTGCTGGAACTCTAATTTAAAAACTATTCAATCGATTACGCTGAAATTTACACACAACTTCGCGACACAATGTCGGTGAACCTAAATGTTTGTGAAAATCATTGATATGATTGATCAGATAAAATTACTTATTTATTGCAAAAAATTGTGAAAAAAAAGTTAAAAAATGGAAATTTATTTTCAAAAACGTTTTATTTTCAAAATTTTTGATTTTTTTAAATTTTTTTTTCAGGTTCAACTACGAATTATGGGTATAAATAATAAGAATTTTTTTCGCTGACTGTTGTAGGATCAATATCATTTGTCCAGCAGCTGAGCTGGTGGAAATTCGCACGCGAACTTGCCAAATGGGATGCTTCCGTCATTTTGAAATATTTTTGGAAAAAAAAATACGTATGGATAGTCCAAACATGTATAAATAAATGTCCAAGTTTGAAAAATGTACAAGCATTTTTTCTCCTTTAAAAAAATTCTTGAAAATAATTTATTTTTCCCTGTTCTAATTGGATTTCCCTTCTTAATTTTTAAATTTTAAGATATTAATACAAAGATATTAATACGTTGAACTTTAAACTTTCACTTTTACAAATATCGCATGAAGAATTTATGTCTTATGATTTCAATACACAGTTCAAATTTGTTCAATATACTGCATAGAAGTATCGTTAAACAACGTTTTTTCATAAGAGCTAAATGATTATTACGGAAAGAAATATAATGAACTGCGTTCAGCAGAGAAAGCAGCTTTGCAAGTGTTGTAAAATTCTGCAATATATGATTGGTTTATACGTTTAGATATAAGGAATCAAAAACAAGAATCGTATTGCAGAATTTTATAACATTTATAAAGCTGCTTTCTCTGCTGAACGCAGCTATTAATTGGCTGTCGCGAGAATTTCCGCTGCATGTTGGTGTGTTAATTGATGCGACCTGTATTACATTAGTTAATTGTCTATATAGTTTGCATAAATGATACTTTATAATAGTTTACATTGTCTATACATTATCTAAAATACTATAATTTATGCGTAGATGCACATTTTTACAGAGTCCATTCGCTGTTTAACGAAGAAAGAAGTTTTATAATATATATATTATTTTATTACTTCTTTTTATCCATTTTGTTTTTGTATATATTGATTAGATGAAGTATGAATAAAATGATATCGGGTCAGATTCAATCCTACTTTTTCGAATGTCTTGAAAATTTATCTTAGTATAGGAGATTAATAACTGATAATTTAATTAATCTCTTTTATAAATCATATATTATTCTTTGTTATCACAGTAACCTTTCTCATAAAAAGATTAAAAGAATTAAATTATTTATTATCACTAAAAATATGTAAACCGATTTACTCTCAATTGTATGTACATATACTCGACTAAAAGATTGCAACAGATTTTTTTTCTATGGTTTTCGGAATGCAGCCTATTTACCAAATAATTGGTTTTTACTTACGGATCCATAAGAACTAATATAAGATAATAATATAAGATAATAATATAATTAATAATATAAGTATAAGAACTAATCGCTCGGCGAGCAGATTGCGTTCCGAAATCCATTTAAAAAAAAGTGTTGCAATCTTTTAGTCGATGAGTGTACCAATGCATTAATTTTTCCAGGAAAATGCTAACAATTTTATATAACGTATATTAAAAAAAAAAATGAATTCTCAACTGTTATGGCTTCTGCATATTGAACGCTTATCGTGCAGTTAAATGCGGCGCAATAAC